TTAATTTTGTATTGGGATCCATAAATATTGAAGTTTTATAACATGCTAAGAAGAGTTGCTATTGGTGGTCTGCTGGATTAGAAGTTGGTTCCTCGTATGTGTCCGTGTTTTGGAACTGTATATTTTGTTGAATTACTTGGTTCCAATCCCCTTATTTACATAATCAAGAGAGTAAAACTCGGTCCGTGAATTGGGGCTTTGAAAGCTATTAAAGGCTTTCTAAGAAGTTTCTTGGGTTGCATAGAGGAAGTATCAGGAGAGTTTGTTTTGATGTGGAATACTGGTCTTAAGTACAAGACATGCTGAGCTCTGATGAGGGAGAAAATGATGTGTTCTTTGATTCACTGGATTGCTTGTCGGTTGAAGAGCCAGTTGTAGCAAAAGAATTGGAGGGTGGGAAATCAGACTATGAAATTTGGATAAATGAGCCACGAAGTGTGAAGGAAAGACGTGAATGTTTTCTGCTTGGAATGGATCTGGTTGAGTTTGCGAAGTCATCAAAGATAAAGGACTTGGAGAGAATCACAGACTGCAATGGTGCTGTCCCATGTTCTTCATTTTCTTCTATTAACATTGGAGAAGGGAGTTTGGCTTGCTGTGATAGGGAAATGACTTGTCAAACCAATTTGGTGGTTGATGAATCTGATCAAGAACAGAACATGGCTCTGGAGAGTGAGAATAAGATGTTTTTTTCTACTAAAGGATGTGAACAAAAGGAAGGCCAAGCACAATGGGATGCCTGTGAAAATGCTAAAGTTGATAGGAAGAAATTCAAGAAATGGTGGAAACACTTCATGAGCATGAGGAAAGGAGGAGTAAGTAGACGTGCATCTAAGGTATCAAAATCAAGTCTCAAAGAACATAAAACAAACAGAATGACTGTTCTGCCCAACAAGAAAAAATACATGGAGTTTACAGGACTTTACATGCGACAAGAAATTCAAGCTCACAAGGGCTTCATCTGGACAATGAAGTTTAGCCTAGATGGTCAGTATTTGGCAAGCGGTGGTGAAGATGGGGTAGTACGTATATGGCGTGTCACATCAACGGATGCCTCTAGTAAACCTTTCATGGCTGAGGGCAATTTGGATAGAAAGGTAGACAAAGGAAAGTCAGGATTTGGAAGAAAAAAGTCAATCCACTCACCGCTTATTATTCCGAATAAGATTTTTCAGATTGAGGAGTCACCAATGCAAGAGTTTCATGGCCATACAAGCGATGTTTTAGATCTTGCATGGTCCACTACAAATGTGAGTCAATCCTGCAGAAACCTAGCAGTCTATCTTATTTTAATTCATTCCGCTTTAGACCTTTGTTTTAGTTTTTGTTATACTGAATCAAATTTTTGGTTGCAGTTGCTTGTTTCTTCTTCCATAGATAAAACTGTTCGACTATGGCAAGTTGGCTGCGATCAATGTCTTAATGTTTTCCATCATAATAACTATGGTAACTATGACAGGAGTTAATCCTATCATCCCCTGTTCTGTGATTTTATTTATATTATAGTTCCTTCTACTTATTGATTTCTTTTCTTCTCTCAAATACATAATGCCACAGTCTAAATTTCTGATCGTGCTTATTGTTTTGATGGAAACAGTAACATGCATACAGTTCAATCCCATTGATGACAATTACTTCATCAGTGGTTCTATAGATGGAAAAGTTAGGATCTGGGGAGTGTCTGAGAAGCGAGTTGTTGACTGGGTGGATGTGCGGGACATTATAACTGCTATATGTTTCCGGCCAGATGGGAAGGTGTGGTTCTGAATACTTGAATTAATATTCTTTGCTAAAAACATTGTTTTGGATTTCACAACTTAGCGATGGTAATCAGTTCATGTCCTTTTGTTCTGGCAGGAATTTGTCGTTGGTTCCATCACAGGCACTTGCCACTTTTATGAAGCATCAGGTATCACCTTTTGCATGTTAAGAGTTCTATTGTACTATTCAATTTTAGTTGTACAATTGTTCCTTTTGTTTTTTTGGCACAGCACCTAAATATCCTTTCATTCTACCTGAGTGTTCTTTTTTTGGTGATATAGGCAGCCATGTTAATTTGGAGGCCGAGATGCATATTCATGGCAGGAAAAAGACCTCTGGCAACAAAATCACAAGTATTCAGGTTTTAAACTGAAGCTATTCGTTCTGTATGTCTGTTGCTTATGCTAATATTTTTCATTCATTAATAATTAGTTTCATTCCAACTTGCAGTTCTCCCAGGATGAACCACACAAAGTTATGATAACTTCTGAAGATTCCAAGGTCCGAATATTCGATGGGGTAGATATCGTTCGTAAATTTAAAGGTAAGGACTCAGTATAATGTAACTCCTTAGGATTGGGAGATACAATTAAGGCAAAATCATGTAGTGATAACCTAACTTGCAATTGAACTAAATTAGTAATATCTTATAACCACCTTATATTCATTCTTTATACTTCTGCTTGGGAAAATGGATGCACCTTACATCATTACCCATGGTCCCACATTTGAATGGTGTTGATCTTCACATGTTAGGCCGGTCCTTCAGCTGCTTCTTGCTCTGTTTTCATGTTGAGCTACAGTGTACTTGTTTAGTAGACTAAATTTTACCTCTCACAGTCTAATTTATGAAGAGAGAAACACTAGATCTTTCTTGGACTGCCTTTAATATATTTAGAGTGAAAAGCTGATCCATATGAATATTTACTGATAATGCACCATGTCTTCAAGTACATGTGTCCCAGTCACAGGTACATTGCATTTTACTAGAATATTGCAAGACTAAATTTGAGAGATGCAGAAGAGAGAGAGATCTGAATTGATCTCACTTCCTATCAACCTTCACAGCTGTACTAGCTTTGATCTTTTTGTACATATACCTTTCCCTGCATAAGCTTTAATTCTTGGCATACCTTATTACACATCCAATGAATATATAATCTTTTGGTGGCATTCCTTATAACGCATCCATTGAATATATAAAGCAGTATTAGACAAGCCTTGAATATTTAATATTATCATGATCTATGCACTAAGCTTGAAGGTTAAACTATAGCTTTGCCATTTGTGCATGTGTTGTCAATACTTAGATAATTATCCCCTATTGATCCTTATGTCACAATTTTCATAAATTAATATTTTCCTTGAATACTGCAGGACTGCCAAAATCAGGAAGTCAGATGTCGGCATCATTTACTTCAACAGGGAAACATATAATCTCAGTTGGAGAAGACTGTCATGTTTATGTCTGGAACTACAATGGCTTTTGCCTCCAAACATCGAAACATACAAAATCTGTTCGTTCTTGCGAGTACTTCTTCTGTGAAGATGTGTCTGTTGCATTACCTTGGTTAGGCCAGGTTGCAGATCAGAGGCACGTACATATTAATGATTGCCGGGCTCGGTCATCGACAGAGGGTCAAATAGAGGGTGCTTCCTGGATCAGAGATTCAGAACGATTCTCTCTTGGTAACTGGTTCTCCATTGATGGGTCCTGCAAGGTTTCTGCCACGTGGCCTGAAGAAAAGCTTCCTTTGTGTGATGCAGAAGTTTTGGAAGATGAGTATTGTACGTATGACCAGCAGCAGCTCTGTCACAGTCGTGCCAACAATCGCACAACCCTATCAGATACATGGGGGCTCGTGATTGTTGCAGGTGGGTGGAATGGAACAATCAGGACATTCCACAACTATGGATTTCCTGTTAGGCTGTAGGAGTTTGGTTCGGGATTTTTCATAGTCTATTTCTATGAGTTCTTGACGCCATCTACTTTCTAGCGAACTTGCATCTCTCTGGGATTATGCAGTGTGCAAGCTCAGTCAGTCAGCAGCAGTCATCAAAGAAACAATATCTTTTTTCCAGATGTAAATGTTCCCAAGTCAGGTTGTTGATACTCAACCCTTGACCCCGCTTGAATTTCAGTAGAGGTGGTTTCTTTTGACATGGTTTGTCATCCCATCATTGTTCGACATTTGGACCATGTCATCGGGGCTTATGTTAGAGCACTTCTCATTTAGGCAGCTCACAAATTTTCATAGTCCTACAGTTTTCTGTGAATAATACCTAAAGTACATAGCGATACAAGGAAGAAATGGAATTACTAATGGTACATGCTGCTCTCTTTCATGTTTTCTTGACCAGCCTCTAATTTAAATTTCATCTTGTTTAATTTGTTAGTACTAGTACATGCATGTGGACGTTGTGTCATCAGGATATATGTAATGTAGGTATGTCTATTTGATCGTTTCGAAAGAAATATTTCAAATTGGGCCTCCTTCTACATTTTTCTGAGCATTTAAATAGCTAACAACTTGTTTATACTTAACGAGGGATAAAAAGATTTATATATTTTACTAGTTGAGATGAAATTTTACTAGTTGAGATGAAAACACCTCTCCTTGAGGATTTACAATTAAAAGAAAATCTAAACCAGTTAATCAACGTCAGGACTATTACAACAATTAATTTCGGAGGAAAACTGGTCTGGCTGCTCTTCCACGAAATTACTTGTCTTTCTTGTCTATCCTGAAAGACATGAGAACAGGATATATATTCTCAAAAGCTGTATCTATTTCAACCCTCTCCTTTGCTCCAGTAATAACAAGCTTTCCAGATGGAAAAATTAATACTGTGATTTTGGGTTGTCTCATCCGATAAATTAATCCTGGAAACAACTCTGGTTCATATGTTGCATACTCATAATGATGACAAGCAAGACGTGTTAAACTGATAGGGACCAAAACGTTACAAGAAGCAACCAGATTCTGAATCTTGAAATCCTTGAAATTAACATGAAATCCAAGCTTTTCAACGATTCGAGCATACTTCCTGGCAGCCAACTGGGATTGTTGCACGGTTTTGGCACCAGTGCAAACAATCTTTCCAGAGGAAAATATAAGTGCAGTGGTTTTAGGTTCCTTGATCCTCATTACCACGGCAGCAAACCTTCTGGGGTTGTATTCTGCGTTGCGAGCATGAAGGGCAATGGCCTTAAGATCCAGGGTGCAGTTCAGGTTCACAGTTGAAACTACATTCTGAAGCATAGGGGTTGGGCGCCCGGAAGGATCAGAAACTTGGTTACTTTCTGATAATCCTGTATCTGCCATCTTGACATCAATGAGTACGTTTCTTTGAAAGTTTGAATTGATCTTGAATGCACGATTCCAGGGTTTTCCTTCTTCCCAGAATTTGCATATGAGACTACTGTAGAAGTACTGTTTGTTGCATGAGAATAGAAATAGATTAAACAATTGATATAGCCCTGTGTCTACCGTCGTCAGACCAATGACTCTCTGTGAATTAGTCTTGAACTAAAAATTTCAGGGTTTTCTTTCTTTCTTTCTTCTCAGAATTTGCTAAGAAAGAATATGTAGAGCTGTTTTATGTTTCATACTAATAGGGAGAGGTTTATATATATATATATATATGTAAAAGATAGGAGATGGTTAAACACTGGAGCCTATGGAAATCCAAGTCCCTGTGGCAGAAGATTTCTGAATTTTTATTCTAAAAGGAAAATTACCCTTTTATTTATTTATTGATAATATTAACCATTTTATTTATTTGGGAGTAGTCAATAAACGTTGACTTCAGTGATATATTTTTTTATAAAAAGATTCCTAATTTAAATCAATAGAAAAAAATTTTGAGGAAACTTGAAATTTAAATAACATGATTGCCCTTTCCTACAGTGACTCATATATCTTGTACCGTGATGATTATGGTTTACAAAATAAAGCTATAAAGTCACCGACCTCTCAGCCATCTCTTACATATTTTCTTTTCTCTTCTGGACAACAGATTTAGTGCCTCTCTGCTCCTGCTTCAACTATTTAGTTCCCATTCTCGAGAGAAAGAAACCCTTCAATCTTGCCTTCAAACCAATCCAACAAGAGTGCTGTCAGTCTTACCAACATGGCAGATTCAGAGTTAGGGATCAGTAACCAAGTTTTGGAGCCTTCCAGTAGTCACCCTCTCGCGTCTCCCGTCTTCCCTACCCTTCAGAACGTGGTTTCCACTGTGAACTTGGGTTGCAAGCTGGACCTCAAGTTCATTGTGCTTCATGCACGAAATTCCGAATACAACCCCAAAAGATTTGCTGCTGTGATAATGAGGATCAAAGAACCCAAGACCACCGCACTCATATTTTCATCTGGAAAGATTGTTTGCACTGGAGCCAAAACCGAGCAGCTATCCCTACTGGCCGCTCGCAAGTTCGCTCGAATCATTCAAAAACTTGGTTTTGATGCTCAGTTCAAGGATTTCAAGATTCAGAACATTGTTGCTTCTTGTGATATGAAGTTCCCTATCAGTCTTGTGCGGCTTGCAGCTTTTCATGGGAAGTTTGCAATATACGAGCCAGAGTTATTTCCGGGATTAATATATCGAATGAAATCACCTAAAGTTGCCATCCTGGTTTTTCCTTCGGGAAATATTGTTATTGCTGGAGCTCAAAAGAGAGATCTAATTTTCCAAGCTTTCGAGAACATATACCCTGTTTTGATGTCTTTCAAGAGAGATTACAAGTGAAGAAGTTCAGCATTTAATATAGAATTAGGGTTTAGTAATTCTTTGTTTCTTTCTAAATTTTTGTATTTTGACAATGGGTTAAATATCTATCATTTGGTGTTTGAATGTAAACTTTCAACAATTTTCTTTCTTCTAATGAAAGTTTCAATTTCAAAACTTGTAATTTGCTCTATTTTGCATCTTTGGTGTTTGATAAGTTTTCTTCTTGTCGTAATTGCTTATAAAAGAAATTTTCTGTATATCTTGTTATTATTGTTTGTGCAAAAGGTTTTGGTTGGTTTAGAATTTCTTTTTTTATTTCATAAGTCTTATTAAGTTTGAGTTTTTGGAAACTAAACATAAACTTGTCATGATTACGGTTAGACTTAAGAAATTTGTTATTAATTATTAAAATAATAATAAAATTTAGAAAAATTGATTACAATTGCTAATGAAATTCTTATATTCCAGAAAATTTACCCAAGATTTATTTTTAAAGTAATTTACATTTTATGAATTCGTCATCCATTACAATAGGGAAGGAATCTTCATCAAAATTATATGCTAGAGGTTGATATCTTATAGGTTTCTCATTTCACTTCCAATAACAAAAGCTTTATTAGAGTAGTACACGGTAATACCTCAACCTTAATAGTTTTAATTTAAAAGAATCACATTGCTCAACTCAGTTGTAGATTTGGACATCTAATTTTGAAGAGAACTTAAAAACTATTCGCTTATCTTATTTTTTACATAAAAAAGGCATTGTCGTATATTTACTAATATGAAAGAAATAATATATATATATATACATATGCAAGTAATATACTAATAAAAATAACAAGCTCAAAAAAATTATAAATTTTGTTAACTTATAAATAAATACATAAAAAACAAATAATATAAAATGATAAGGGGTATTTCATTAATTATAGAGTTTATTTGGCTTAAAATAAAAATATGAAGATTTGATTAAATGTAAAAAAAAGATTTATTTAAAATTTTTAAATAATTTAGGAGTTTTTTAGGTATTGTGCATATATTTTTCATAAAAATTCAAAATTTACTTAAATCAATAGAAAAAAATTGGAGCAAACGTAATTTAAAATTTTCCTTTCCTACAGTGACTCATATACCTTGTACTATCATGATTATGATTTACAAAGTAAAGTTACAAAGTCCCCGAGTTCTAATTAAGCCATCTCTTCTATATTTTCTTGTCTCTTCTTGACAACAGATTCATGCCCTCTATGCTCCTGCTTTAACTATTTAGTTCCTCCCCATTCTCGAGAGAAAGAAACCCTTCAATCTTGCCTTCAAACCAATCCAACGAGAGTACTGTCAGTCTTACCAACATGGCAGATTCAGAGTTAGCGATCAGTAATCAAGTTTTGGCGCCCTCCAGTTCTCACCGTCTCGGGTCTCCCGTCGTCCCTACCGTTCAAAATGTGGTTTCCATGTGCACTTGGGTTGCACGTTGAACCTCGAGGCCATTGCGCTTCATGCACGAAATTCCGAATACAACCCCAAAAGATTTGCTGCTGTGATAGTGAGGATCAAAGAACCCAGGACCACCGCACTCATGTTTTCATCCGGAAAGATTGTTTGCACTGGAGCCAAAACCGAGCAACAATCCCTACTGGGTGCTCGCAAGTTCGCTCGAATCATTCAGAAAATTGGTTTTGATATTCAGTTCAAGGATTTCAAGATTCAGAACATTGTTGCTTCTTGCGATATGAAGTTCCCTATCAGTCTTGTGCGGCTTGCAGCTTTTCATGGGAAGTTGGCAATATATGAGCCAGAGTTATTTCCAGGATTAATATATAGAGTCAAAACACTTAAAGTTAGTATTCTTATTTTTTCCTTCGGGAAATATCATTATTGTAGGAGCTCAAAAGAGAGAGATAATTTTTCAAGCTTTTGAGAACATATATCCTGTTCTGATGTCTTTCAAGAGAAATTACAATTGAAGAAGTTCAGCATTTCATATAAAATTAGGATTTAGTAATTCTTTGTTTCTATCTAAGCTTTTTGTATTTTGACAATGGATTTGAATGTAAACTTTCAATATTTTTCTTACTTCAAATGAAAGTTTCAACTTCAAAACTTGTTATTTGCTCTATTTTGCATTTTGGTATTTGATAAGTTTTCTTCTTGTCGGAACTGTTTATAAAAGAAATTTCCTGCATATTTTGTTATCATTGTCTGTGTGAGAACTTGCCATGTTTGTTGTTAGAGTTAAGAAATCTGTTATTAATTATCAAAATAATAAAATAATTTTTTTGAAAAAAATTAGAAAAATTGATTACAATTGCTAACTAAATTCTTATATTTCAAAAAATTTACCCAAGATTTTTTCTTTAAAAAGTAATCTACATGTTATGAATTTGTCATCCATTACAATAGTGAAGGGATCTTCATCAAAATTATATGCTAGAGGGTTGATATCGTATAGGCCTTTCATTTTACTTCCAACATGCTTTATTAGAGTAGTACAAGGTAATACCTCAACCTTAATACTTTTAATTTAAAAGAATCACATAAGTCAACTCAGTTGCAGATTTAATTTTGAAGCCAACTTAAAAACTATTCCGTTATCTTATTTTTTTCATAAAAAAAACATTTTATTATATTTACTAATATAAAAGAAATAATAAATATATATATGGAAGTAATATACTAATAAAAAATAACAAGCTCAACAAAATTATAAATTTTATGAACTCATAAATAAATGCATAAAGAAACAAAATACATTAAATACATGAAAATACATTTTTATTCAGTTTGGCTATTACTCCATGGATCCGCTTCATGAGATATTTTATCATAAAAAACGTCTATTTTCTCAATAAAAATAAGAAAAATAAATATCATAACTCCACTCTATGCTATCTCGAGGGGAAACAGAGCATAGCCCAAAGCTTATCTTTTTGGCGGCAGCAATTTGAAGAACACATTACAGTTGCCGTTTAGAGCAATCAAATTCCCAATTTTTTCCATGGCAGTCTCTACTTCTTCTCTACCCATCATCTCTTTCAGTCGAAAGTCTTCGTCTTCATCTTCATCTTCTTCTTCATCATCATCGTTGCTATTTTTGGGTCCTTCTCCTGTAAAAACCCATCATAAATGTAGCTTAATTATGAGTCAGCGGAGCTCATTTAGACGATTGTTTATCAACTATTCGGCTTCATCTGACATGGGTTCCTCCCCAGACCCCATGAACTTGAGGTATGTTTCTTCGGTACGGTGGTTTGATTTCCTTTTAGTATGTCTTTTAGTTTGTCCTGGGCTTTGAATTTTGATGCTTAGTGTGGGTTTTTACTGAGATTTGTAGTGATGTTCGATGCGATGTTGGTAATTGCATTATTATTTTGATAGCAAGTGGGCATGACTTCTGGGGAAAAAGAAAAATTTCAAGATCTTTGCACTTCTACATTGGATAGCATTAGCACTTGAAAGTGGAAACCATTTTATGTACTGTGGAAATCGATTTGCTATTTAGACAATATCTGTTATTTTGTTAAAATCCTTTTTCAGTGGCGGAGTTTCTACAAAAAAGTTGAAGGTACTATGACTATTGCAAAAGTGATATAAAATTATCTTTGCAAGTGAAACTAACAATTATGGTGGACTCTACTTGTGCACAAGATGAGTCCGTTGTCATTTTTATTCCAAATCCAAGTGATGAAATTTTTCTTTCAGGTGCGATAAAATAGTAATTGGAGTAATGTATCAGTTGGATGCCCAAAACAATCCCTGTTGTATGTTAAAATCATTCACTCTATATTTGTGTCTTACATCTTTGTGCTCATGTTAGCAGTGAAAAGGCATGTGAGAGATGTGGAATTTAACTTAGTGAATAGTTCTCACTCTTGAGCTATGCGGTTGGGTATTCTTATGTGCATAAGATATCTTTTTAGTGTATGAGCCCCTTCCTAGTTAAATTTAAAGTGTCCTAATTAATACTTGAGACATATATTTCGTTGTTCGGTGCTTCTTTGGTTAATGAATCAGAATTTTGATTTCTCCTTATCATTTTTTCAGTATATTGAGGATGCTATGATAATTTTTAATGCTTGAGAGTTCAATTTCTCATTGCTATTCTCAAGGTTACTGAATTGAAATTCTTGGTTCATACACATGACTGAAGTTTTGTAGCAGATATAGGATATTCTTTCTATTTTCTTTACGCAACTGCTCAAGGTTCATTGAACAATTACTAAAATCTTTCCACAACCTTCCCCCACCCCTTTAACTTTTTGAACATTCTTGAAAGCACTTGTTTATCTGCATTGTTAACCTCCTTCTTTTAACAGGCATAATCACATGTCATCGATGGCTCCCTTTGGAATGCAAATGAATGACAAACCATCTTATAAATGGCAAAGGGTTTTGCTTAAAGTAAGCGGAGAAGCACTTGCAGGAGATCACTCTCAAAATATTGACCCAAAGGTTGTGATGTGAGTAATTTTTTTTCTTTGTGTACTATATTTCTTTTCTTGATTATAATTGAAGTATGAGGTTTCTGGTTGAATGCAGATTACAATGGCTATTGCGAGAGAGGTTGCATCAGTGACTCGCCTGGGCATTGAGGCTAGTCTGTAGCCCCTTCTTCCATTTATATCTTCCATGACTGTTTTGTTTCTCCTATAATCTTCTTTAAATATGGTTGTTGTGCTGAAGTTTTTCCTTTTCTCAGTTATGTTGAATTGTTTTGTTGTAATACCATGTTAAATTGTTGATTGGTTGTCAATTTTGTACTGAAATCCTGGATTCTACATTTTGGTTGAAGACCACGCATTGCATTTTGGAGATTGCTAAGACAAATATCTGCTTTATTTGGATGAGATTCAAAAAGAAGTTTGAGCAGGATAAACAATTCCTACTACCAATAAAAAATTGCATCAATCGCTGTCGTGAATGAAGTTGAGTAATCTAGAAAGTACATGGAGTTGCAACTTACATCATAAACACTATCATGTGAAATTATTAAAAAATTTGGGAGGAGGTTACTTACCAGGAAAGAGTGACCGGTTGTCAGAATGAGTTTGCAAACCTGAAAGTGATTAGAAACTCCACTGTTTGATTTTATTTTATATGTCTAAATCTTTTAGGTACTTGTCGCAGGTTGCAATTGTGGTTGGTGGGGGTAATATTTTCCGTGGATCATCTTGGGCAGGATGTAGTGGGCTTGACCGCTCATCTGCTGATTACATTGGGTAAATAATTTATTTGATTGCATGTTTTTGTATTTCAGAAGTCTCTGGTTTTGCACATATTTCCTTGGATGACCGGTCATAATAATTGCAGAAAGTAATTAGACCTGAGCTACCATAGGGAAATCTTCTCATGCGCTCTCTCTCTCTCTCTCTCTCATGTGTATTATTGCTGCAATTTTTTTTGCTAGAATGTTAGCAACTGTAATGAATGCTATATTTCTTCAAGCAACAATGGAGAGTATTGGCATCCCAACACGTGTTCAGACTGCATTTCGTATGTCAGAGGTTGCAGAGCCGTATATTCGTCGAAGGGCTGTGAGGCATTTGGAGAAAGGAAGGGTTGTCATCTTTGCAGCTGGAACTGGTAATCCATTCTTCACCACAGATACTGCTGCAGCCCTTCGTTGTGCAGAAAGTAAGTCATTTTCTTTAGTCAGAATGCTTATTGACACTTTAGGAAATATAATTCTAGGAATAAACATGTTTGGGTCATTGATACGTTAGGCCCCTATTATACATTCTAAGTCACTAGGAACTTTTCCGAGATTTTGAAGATACTTTGAATCTTGCACAAAATTGCCCTCATTGTGTAGAATTTGTTGAAATAAGTCTTAACTGATTTAAAAAGGGATTTTACTACTTCTGTTTTGGAAATAAATGTTCTCTTATTGCCAAGATATTGCTATTGTTTGGAATTAAATTAGACATTCTATTTGTTGGTCCAGTCAATGCAGAGGTTGTGCTGAAAGCCACAAATGTTGATGGGGTTTTTGATGATGATCCTAGGCATAATCCAAATGCCCGTCTTCTTGATACGCTAACTTATCATGAGGTGACTTCAAAAGATCTCTCAGTGATGGACATGACTGCCATTACTCTGTGCCAAGAAAATAACATTCCTGGTATGTTTAAACTTTTGCAATCTGTATTATAATAGCATCACTAATAAGTGTGTTATGTTTGGAATTTGTAAGTTGGCCCCATTGCATTAACTAAAGAGAATTGGAGTTAATTTGATCTAATTGTCTTTCCTTCGATGCAGTTGTTGTCTTCAATTTAAACAAACCGGGTAACATCTCGAAAGCAATAAAGGGTGAGAGAGTTGGTACATTGATTGGTGGAACATGGAATTCAACAGTGGCAAGGACATGAAGAAGACACTTGGTGCAGTTACCTATCAGTGTAGTGGCTTCTCCCTACTTTGCTTGTCCTTATTGAAAAAGAAAGTATGGGATGGTAATTCATTGCGCAAGCATAATGAGAGGTTTTGAAGACGAAGTTTCCTGGAGCTCACATTTGAAAAACCCAAAATGAAAGCATGAAGCGTGGAATCCATTCCACTCTTTTGACAGATTAAGATAATATCACTGCTGATTTTTGTACACAACATATGTGGAATTTTGCCTTGTTTGAACATTGAAGCAATCTCAATTAAACAGTAATTCTTCAATGACTTTGATATGTTAAGTTTAATGTTCAATGTTAGTGGTAAGCAGTCGCAAAGGACACAAGGGAGAAAAAAAAAAATTTTGCATGTTATTTCTTTGCTTATATCATCAGTACAATTATTTGTGCAAGAGATCTGAGGTTTAAAGATGACCAATTAGAGCTCATTGGTGCCAAAGCTGCCAATCATCTCAAGGTGATTTCACTTTGTTAACTGCTTTCACTAAACATTATGACTTGAAAAGTTGGCTGTATTTTACTCTAATTTATATTCTCAATTTGAATGTTCTACAGGTTCTCTTCACCCTCCTGGTTCAACTGATTGGTGATAGAAAGGTATAATTTGTACAATTCATTATTGTTACATCACAAAGCCATCCACTCAATAGCTAACATATCTGGTCTCTCTCTCTCTCCCTCTCTAAAAATAAAAGAGAGCATCCATTCCCCTTTACCACCTACTTGGGTGGCTGTGTCCTGCTTCCATGCAATTGCCATCCTATTTAATATTATGTCGTAGAAAGTGTTTGGACGTGTTAGGCTTTTTGTGGAAAATGGCAGAAACTTCCAACACGAGAATTGAGAACAGGACCGCCACATTCCACTCTTGGGGATGGAACAAAGTGAATGAAACCCCCCTCCAACATTTGTGAGCCAGATATTTCAAGGGTTGCCATTTTGAAGACTTTTTGGTCAAACAGGATCTTGTAATTAACTATTCTCGATCCAGCTCGGACACAGCCTGACCATCTTCTTTTCTGCCCTCCCTGGCTTCCTTTTTTTGTATAAACGTATTGAGTTAGGACTGTAAAACGGGAAGCAACTCATTTTTATAAAACGTTCATCTGCTTATGTGGTCCATTTCAAGAGTTTAACCTCCAAATCTTTATGTTAAAATCTCAATTTTTAACTGTTGAGGTAATTTTTAGCTTATTTTCTTTTACCTTAACCATTTCTCCTTATTTTGCCAAATATCACCTACTGTCTCATTATTTTCTTCACAAATATATGGCCACAGCAGGGGAATATAGAATAGAAATCCCATCCATGACATTGTTAAAGAGCTTGCATATCAATCACAATTCAACCTTTTTGAACTGTGAAGCATGGAAACAGCACACGAAGACAAGATAAATCTTTCAATCATTCAGTTTTGTACAGTTACATTATTCAAGTTTTACTATGGAAGCCAAGTAGTAACCAAGAAGTTTTCCCCAAAAAAAGGTTTAGGGAGGGACTGGTACAGTTGGAGCTCAAAAACACCCACCCTTCACCAAGTAAATAAGATAGTCCCCCTTTAAACATTCAATCAATTTACAAGAAGTCGCATTAAGGTTAAAAAAAATAGGTACATCATCCAATGAGGATGAAGGCAGGGTGGCCCAGACTCTGACCATTATGTCCTTTCGGATGGTATAAAAGTAACAATGATCTGAGCAACCACCTCCTAAGTAGTCAGTTCAATAAAAGCATCAATTACTACACTTCCTAAAATTTATCAAAAGCACAGATAAATAAAACAAAAAATCATTACTAAACTTGAAAAACATCATTCATACAACATGAATTAATGGTGTACCACAAAACATCAGTGCCTCCAAATTAGCAAATTTTACAATTAAAAACCCAAATGCCACTACAATTACAAACTCTAATCTTTTAACACAAAATCCCTTGCCCTATCCTATGTGTTCTTTTTACCTCTTCCTCTCTTTCAAATTGACAAAAGAAGTTAGTACCTCACAATTGAGGAAGCCCCTAAATCTAATAATACAATCTCAGATTTGTGATGCCAAAATTTGATTCTGAATTTCTCTTTTTTTTAAAAAGAAAGAAAATAATTGGCTAAGGGTTCCAAATCTGAGCAAAAAAATCAGGAGAAAGAGTTGGAGAAGATATTAAAGGCCCTGAAAGCAATGCAGAAGGGCTACCCAGGAACCCACTTCCATGTAACATCGGGCTCCAGTCATGCAAAGCCGACATCATTCTCGCCTCCGACGCCGGCGATAAGAACGTCCCCCCCGCTACCGCGGGCGAAAAGAACGTTCCCGCCGCCACCGCTGGCAACGTCTCCGGCGCCGGAGAAAGTATCCCTGGCGGTGCTCGAATCAAACCCTCTTCCATCCCATCTTCACCCGCCATCCCCACGTCCCCTATTTTCTCTCTCGAGCTTGGACTCGCCTTTTCCGTCGCTGCCAACCTCGCCGCCGGGGAGACGTCGCCGTCTCCGGAGAAGTTACCGGATGAAAGTCCGGTGTAGCGTTGCACGATCGACATGAAGTCGGATTCTTCAGCGTGGATGACTTTGGGTGAGACGGCGTAGATGATTACTGGCTCGCGACGACGTTGGTCTGCTGCTGCAGCTGCTGCTGCTGCGGGAACTGCGGCGTGGGATGGTGGGTGAGGTGGTTTTTTGATTTTATGGGAGTCTTTGCTGACTTTTAGAGGGGTTGGGCGTGGACCTTGGATTTGTAGCTGACGCTTCGACGGTGGCTCCCCGGCGGGAAATTGAGAGTCCATGATCGACGATGCTGCTGATGAAGAAAGGTCCTTTCGGGGATAGAGAAGGGAAAGAGAGGAGCAGAAATTTTTGGGTAGATGATGAAATGAATCGCCTTGAACACTTTCAGGCAAATTATTTGACTTTGAAAAACACGAAATTAAGAAAAGTCAATGCAAATATTATTGCTTATTTTTGCAAATTCAGTTCCAATATTTCTCAATAATTATTTATTGTAATAATCGTTTCTAATATTATTTTATACATATATTTATTTATTTTTCAATATTTGCCGTCAGAATAAAGCGAGATTTCCTATTGTCCGACAATGAGAAAAAGCTGCAATACTGTTGTTCATCTTTATCTAATCTTTTTTTTAATGAAACATTAATTATAGTGTTTTTCTTACAAAAAAATTAAAGTAATTAATTCAACTCCTTAGAAACGATCATAAGTCATAAAATTTTTTATTAAAAATTTAATATAAAAGTGGCAGTAATCTATTAATTTTTAAATTCTAATCACTCTACTTAAAATAATAGATCAAATTTATCACTAATTTTTTAATGTGTCTAATTTCATTATTACACGTTTAGATTTGGTTAAAAATCAATAGAAAATTAGATTTTTTTTATTTTCTAATGGAATTATTTTTACAGTTTGAATCAAATTAAAAAAAAATACTGTGATAAAATTATTGCTGTTTCAAATATGAGTGATAACTTTGATTTATCACCTCAAACAGTTGCTTATATTTTTATCTTAATGAAAGCATGAAGCATCAATTGTATAATAAAATTTAAAATCTTAATAAAAGAGTAAAAAAAATTGATTTTTTTTTAAACTTGGAGAAAATCAAATTGAAACAAAACAAAATGAAATAACTAGAGTAATACTTGTTAACTTTTCATATAATTATAAAATTTTAGTATTATTTTAAATTACAAAATTTTAGCCTTGTGGTGGACTTATTAAATGCAAACTCGAATTATTTGAACTAAAAGGTACAAAAAGGGAAAAAAAAATTACAAACTCCATCACATTACACGTGATAATGCAGGGTGAGTAGCCAAAATATCAGTTTCACCTTTTAAGTTTTCTCACTTTTGAATTTAACCCTTACTTTGGTCGCCCTAAACTTTTAGAAATCACAACAAAATACTTCCAATTTTTTATTTTTGCATATTACTATTTACCTGGCCTTCCATAACTTTCTGAAAATTTGTAATCAGTATAGAAACTTCTCAAACTTTTCACTTAATTTTTGAATACTCATTTATCCAAAAAAAAAAAGAAAGAAAGAAATCTTGAGTAATTTTTAATTTTCTTAATGCATATGTATTTTATATTTTTACACGGTTTGCGTAGTATTACTTTTTATATTAATAGTTTGTTATTAGTTATTCACAGTGAAAAATTAGAATCCACATTTCTATTTTTTTAAAGCTTATTTTTACATTTCTATTTTTTGTCAGACACTCCAATGCACAAATATACGTACTTTCACGTTAAAGCTTATTTTTTGTGTTTTTCTTTTCATAAAATTTTTTTCCTACATGATTATTTGTTTTATTATGCATATAATTAAAAAAAATAGAATAACACACAATAATGTAAAATAAAATTTGAAAATATCTATTTATTTCAAAATGAAAAAAGTAAGTAAGATTTCATTTGGTTTATACCTTTGCTAGTTGTCTTTTGTTTTCTATTTTTTTATTTTTATTTTTTTAATATTTTTCAAAAAAAAAGAAGCAAATAACAAATAGTAAAAGTATCAATTAAATGGAGTCTAAATAATTGAATTAATATTTCTCTTAACTTAAAATAGAATTGCCCCCCTGACTTCAAATCTTGGCTTTGTCCTTGTCTATGACACTTCAATTAGTTTGCATATTTTTCCTCTATTAAAATATTTTGTGGATTAATACAGAAGCTAGATAAGTCAAGAGATTCCAATAATTTTCTATATCCTGTTATTAGTAATTTAAAATTTTTAAGAAATAAAACTTTAAATATTAATGTAATCTCATGATTTTATTATTGTTTTTTGCTAGTGTTTTTGCTCTATTTCTTTTGGTAAAATACTCCACCTTCTAAATTTTAATCAAAATTCAAAATAGATCTATTAGTTTTTGAAATGACACTCCGTTTCAAAAAATATCTTTCACTACATACATTGGTCTAGCCGTTAATTAATTGTTAATGTTTTTATTAATTTGATAACGTGATAATATTGAAAAGATAATTTTATTTTTTATTAATTTTAAAAATTACTATTATATAATTTTTATTAATTTTTTAAAAAATTAGGTGCTCCCTTTTTTTAAAAAAATTTACTTATTTTTTAAAATATATATAATAATTTTTTAAATTAATAAAAAAAGAGTATTTTAATCTTTTCATATTATCTGTTGATAGTGTTTAACTTTTAGGCGGAGTGTTCATTTCGAAAACTAATGAACTTATTTGAAATTTTGATTAAAACTTAAAAAGGAAGATATTTTTTTATTTTTTTGTTACGACTGGAGTTATTATATAACAATTAATAAGTAATAATATTATCATTAAAAAAAAGGGTAGGTTTTTTATTTAGGAGCTATATATGTTAGGTGATGATACACTAATGACAAACGTAACAAAAACTATAAACCACTGTTTTAAATACATGGAGGTACTAATTTATTGTTCTAGAGGAACAGCTTCTACGATTCAATTTACTTTCTTGACTTATAATATATCTCAAACATGAAAATTAATTTAATTAAAATTTTATATTAAAAGTCTTGAATTCGAATTTTGAGATAAATAAAATAAGATTTATGAGATAATTGCTCTTATATAAAGATTATATTGTAAAATATGTAAAAATAGGGACAATTATTGATGGTAAGATTTAAAAAATTACTAGTTTTATTTAAGAACTATATATGTTTAGTGAAGATACACTAATAACGACAAACCTAACAAAAAGTATATGGATGTACAAATTTATTGTTCAGCGGAAGAGCATCTAAGGTTCAAATTACTTTCTTGACTAGCAGTATATCTCAACTGTTAAAATTTAATTAAAATTTTATATTAAAAGTCTGGAATTAAGTTTTGAGATAAATAAATTGAGATTTATGAGATGGAGAAAAAGATCTCTTATTATGTAATTCGAATGCTTCATGTGTTGTCTCTAATGGGACATCTTAATGGTTAAATTTGAGCATCTATCTTGGAAGTTTCGAATTTAAATCCTAAAACCAGCAGAGTGAATACTACAACATATGGGAGAATTAACTTTTATTATGTTGATAAAAATTCTTTATTCAAAGAAAAAGAAAAAGTCCTTCTAGTACCAAAGAATAAGATTACAAACTCCTTTCATTTTTTGTCTTGATCTAAATATACCCCAAAAGTTTTGGGAAACCTCTAGAAGTTATATTCCCCAATAAGCAATCACCAAAAAATAAATATCGGAGTTCCTTTATGACAGTGTAATTGTATTCCTTGCAAACTAATTGGTTGGTTATACATAGATACATATTCTATTTTAAGCATTTACAATTAACAAAAAGCATTCTTCATTTGTAAGACACCTTCAACCTTCAATGTCGATTAGCTGAAATAAAATTTATGAAATGTTATATGTTTGATAAAAAAAATTTATAAAAGATTATAATTATGAGATTCTTATTGCATCAACGTATTTTTCTTAAGTTTTTATCAATATTTTATCAAGAAAAGTAAATATTAATAAAGTAGAGAGAACGACATATGATTATATTTATCACTTGTGAAGTGGACAATTGATTTTGTAGATTGAAATATGGGGATACTTGAATTAAAATGTAAGTGCTTATCACAAGAATGAGTTCATTGAGGATGACCTTCCAGGAGAATTTACTTAGTATATCATTCAAATGATCATGAAATAAATTTTCATGTGCTAGTTGTGTAAGTGATCTTTAAACTTGAGATCACTAAATTACTTTATGCTTGAAATGTTAGTCTTTGATACTATCTACAATGGTCTTAATTAATGATGTTCAAAAGGATATTAATATTGGATATAACATGAAACATATAACGATGAATCAATGGCTAATAGAGGATTTATCACTTTAAATGAAACAAAATGGTATATCAATTTACATGAATGTTTTTTAAATTTATGTTAAATTTTCATTAGTTATATTGTATACTAATTATTATGGTTAATTGTTAATCAGCTTGGATGTACTAATTTAAAAGTTATATATTGGATTTATTTCATTTTAATTGTTACTGTATAATTTAAGGGTAATTCAAAAAATTAAATAAAACACTTTTCATTGTACATTTTTTGTTTTTTCAAATTAATTAACATAAAAAAAATTGAAATCCTAAATTGACCAAAAATTAAGACCTTCATCAAGAAATAAAAAGTTTTACAAACATTAAATCCTAAAATGGGAATCCAGGTTAATTGTATATATAATCTCATTAAACAAAATTTTTCTATACCAAATATGAAGAGATCGTCGAAAGAATATCATTGGATCCGATGATGCAGCTCCATATTGTACGGATTGATGCATAACATATGTGCCAAGTAAGTGTATTCTTATATTGTTAATCGTCAGATCCTTCATATGTATATATACATATTTAAAAATTGTCACATTTTATGATTTTTGAACAATTGTAACTTAAAATCGTAAAGTATAGATAGATTCAGTTGCAGAATAAAGGAGAGCACACCAAGATCAGCTTGCTGTAAAAGCAATTGACTAAATACAGCAGCAGGGGCCAAAATAAGATTAGAAGAGAAAGGAAAAGGAGGTAAGGCAGTGGGCACACTACTTTGGACTTTTAATTATTTTTCATTTCGTGATGCCACAACATTGGTCCAGTATCAAAAATGAAAGGGGAAAAGCTATATTTTCGGTAAGTTGTAATCATTGGACATAATGGTATTACCCTTTCTTAAACCCAAAACTAATTTGCGGCAAATTTTTCTTTTACATGAGCTTGACAATGGCTCAATTAAGAATGCTTTCATAGTTTAACCTGAACCGTATATGTTCTTGCAACAAGGGAAAGGAAAAAGGTATCATTAGAAGAGGGAAAACTCTAGCGGTTTCAAGAACATATGGCATTCTTTACAGCAACTAAAGTATTCGAAAGGAA